GCACTTCCTAAATACAATTAAATGATTTGCAAATATAGTTCAAATAAGCTTATGGTCTTGACTTGACTTAAGCGAAAGCTACTTCTGCAAAGCATGTGTACAAAGTACGAAAAGAATGACAGGCAAAGAGATACCCTGTAGGAGATGAAGATGAAGATGAAGATGAAGAGAAGAGAGATGAAGATAAAGAACGATAGAAAATATTGAGTAACATACAGTTCAGTGTGTTTATGGTTTGTGAAGCTAAACTTGGAATGCTTATAAACCAAATTAGCATTATGCTTTTGCCCTTTAGAAGAAAATAATTACTTGTAGAAATTAATGCAAATTAATGTACTACAGCTAAATATAAAAGAAAATATATTGATGAAACGGAGAGTTATTCCCCAATAAGCAAATGCCAAAGATAAATGATTAATATATAAAGATATTAACTAACAGCCAGTGTACCTTAATGGACCTCAAAAATAAAATCATAGGGTATCTAAAGTACACAGAATCAAATAGTAAACGATTTGTATTGCCTGAAGTGTTAATCTTACAGGGTATGTAGTACACACAGAATATTGAAAGTATTGATAGTGTTACACTATAAATAACACAGAGTTAATCGATTTTGAAACATGACACATCTAGACTATATAGCTGAAAAAAAATTATAATCAATATCGGCATTAATATGATATGTACAACGCAAGGAAATAAATAGGTGAAGAATTCTAAACAAAAATACCATATAAATGTAAGACGAGCTATGGGAACTGTGTAAAATGTGAGCTACATAAATATAGAAACAAGTAACACTAGCTGCTAGGCTTATAGAGTATGTTGAAGCAAATGAAACCACAAAAATGTATATTAAATGATTAAATGATTTCATTAAGATGAGTCAATTCAGATTTAATAACAGTAAATCGTGTTCTTCACAACGCTTTTGGCTTATCACACCAATTACCTAGCTTAACAGGGTATCTAAAATAAACAGAATCGGAAACAACCCACATAAATATAAAGCCCCCATATCACGGAACGTGTCTTTTGTACAAAACTCGCAGCTAGCCAAAACTGCAAAACAAAATTATGCAAAAATAAAACAGTAAATGAAAAAATTGAAAATAAAAAGCAACGAAAAAGGTAAACAAAACACGTTAAGAACGTTAGAAACAGTTAACGCAAAGTGGTCAAAATGAGTCATTTACCCATTTGAGAGCGACTCGAACAAGTTTCGCGCACTGATCATGGAAGACAAGATGAGCTCAGTGTGTAGAGCGATCGATGCTGTCAGTATACAAATAAAAAAATATTTATAAATATATATATGTATATATATAATATTTGAGATCAGAATCTAAACAGTTGAAGCTTTCGTTTGACTTACAAATTATATACATATATATATACATTCATAATATATGTATATGTATGTACATTTCAATTATTTATAATCTATTATTTTTGTGATTTGCTTTACCTTTATCTTTCTTGCTCGTTCGCTGTTTGCCTTCTGCGTTGTGCTTTGCGCTGTCGCTTCTTCTTCTAATGGAAAATATAGCCGTGATTTTTCACCACTTTCACATTCACAATGAAAATCAAATAGATGCGAATGCACCTTTTGATAATTTATAAACAAAATTTTGTTGTTTATTGTTTTGATTTATTTATTTTATTTTATTTATTTATCTTTTATTTTTGTATTTGTTGAAAATTTATTAAATGACAAATTTGCTTTTTAGTTTGTACACAAACACACTGAATGAAATTTGATAGTTAGGATCTAGATTGTTAGAAAGATAGAGCCGAAGATGGAAATCTTGGAATTTGCCAGCATTTATATGAGTATAATTTATATATAATTTATTGACTGCATATTAAATTTCACTTTAATTTGCAGCACACGTACTTTGCAACGAGCTATGCTGGAAAATTCATTTTCCACACACACGCACACACACTTAAAGCTCGAGTCATAAGTCAAGACTTTCAATTAGGCGGCTTTAACACGACAAACTGCGTTGGTAATAGTGAAAAGATGCTTACGCCAGCCATCCAATGTATCTTTGTATCTATGCCTAGCCGTGTATCTTATGCTGTTATGTGTCTGTAGGCATGTGAGCCGCGGTAAAAGTGTAAAAATTACAACAACTTGCGCTTTCACAATGCACAAAAATAAAACGATTCATGATTTGCCACATGATTTTTCCTTGGTTTTTCTTCTACTTTTCTTTCTTCTTCATCTTCTTCTTCTTCTCCTTTTTTTGTCTAGCATCTAGCGACAATTGAAGATGAATCTTTAGCATTAAGCAGCCAAGTTCCGGGTTGAATGAAACGCAGATAAATTAGCTGATATACATATAGATATATGTATGTGTATCTATATATATTCATTAATTTGTATTGCCGATCGATTTAAAATAAATTAAAATACACGCACAGCTGCCCAAATACAATGCATATTGCGCAGCGTGTGTGTGTGTGTGTGTGTGTGTGAAAGTACGCAACGGAAAATAAAAACAAATCAAAGTGAAAAACCGTTGCCAGCCCATTTACAAATGGAAAATTGTCAACGCACATTGAACTTGACGACAAAAGAAATGCAACAAGCGAAGGGGAGCGGGAGACGAGAAGAGCGAGCAAGCGAGAGAGAGAGGAGCGCGGCAGCGAGTGGGCACACTAGCATGCCTCAATTTACAGTTAAGCGACGCAGACGCAGACGCAGAGATGCAAAACTCCGCGCAGCAGACTTTCGGCCAGAGGAATGCGAAATGCGAAATGCACTTGCTGCGCCAACTTTTTTTTCGCTAAATAAAAAAAAATGAAAAAAGTGAAGGGGCTACAGCAGCCGGGATCTGCAAGACCTGTGCCCAGTCTAGCCTCAGTCATGCCCGTCTCGGCCCCCTCCCCCCCCTCTCTCTTTGCTCTTTGTGTCTAAAGATATATGGAGAGAGATACATCGAATAGCCGGCTAGCATAGCGGTACTTTGAGTGGGCATGACGAGGAGCTAATGACTCGGCGCCTCACTCGACATTCGACAGACAGACAGACGGACAGACAGACAGACACACGACTTAACAGGAAGTTGGCAATTTTGGTTAGCCAGAGCTGAAGAAACTAATGTTGATTGGGGCTGCTGTATGTCTATAAAGGCGTATACGAATATATATCTATGGCTGGTTTGGCTGCGTGGAGCATGTGTGCGCCAAGGGGCGGGGCCAAGTGATCATGCCACACAATTTTCAAATATCTGTTAAATAACTGCAAAATATTTTTCATACATATATTTTACAGCTCTGAAATCTTGTTTCTTTTTATTTCATTTGACTGATTGATAGATAATTTATATTTATAAAACATTGATTTAATTACTTTATCTTATCATTTTTGTAAGCTTACATTTCTTTTTTTAAACAATAATATTATATTATTTATATATAAAGAATGTTTTTTATAAAAAATAAAAATTTATAAATCTTACATTTATAATTTTTTTTTTTTTTAATTTTTGAAAACTACTACTCTATTCTGAATTTAAAAAAAAAAAATATATATATATATATATGAAACACATCAATATTAAATATATTTTTTATAATTAAAATAGGTTTTATTAATTCTTTTACAAATGTTAAAAATCTGTTAATTTTTTTTACAAATTTGATATTTGTTTGATATGAAAAGTAAATTTAGTTTTTTTTTTTTTTTTTTTTTTTTTTTTTTTTTTTAAAATTTCCATTTAATTTTTTTTTTTTTAAATTATTATTTTATATTATTTTATTTTTTAATTTTATTATTATTAGTATGATCAATTTATTGTTCAATTTATTGAGTACTAGTCATTTATTAATAATCTCTTTCTTTATCGTTTATTTAAATTAACCATATCATTTTATTAGTTTATCATGCATTACGATTTTAATATTTGATTATTAACTTAAATTTGGCAAAACCGCTTCCTTGTTAAAATATATATTTTATAGCTGAATGCTTTTTAAAGTTTATCTAATGCATAGCAAATTCCAATAATTCCGCCATCTATATGTATTCGCTCTTCGCTCTCTTTCAAGCATTCAATCGAAATTCCAAAACTCCAATTTAAGCACATTATTTATGCTAATTAAATAAACCGTTATCACTTTGCTTACATATATGCTAAATATGTATATTATCAATTATTCCGCTTGATTTTGAGTTTTGCTCATTTTTCACTTGGTTTAATTTGATAATTAGCCGCAAAGTACGCAGCAACCGTCGTCGACGAAACTCTTCGAAATCAACTAATATTAACAAGAACGCAGAGACGGCAATCGAGGCCGATGAATAAAAACGCGCGAGTTACGAACGCGCTACGTACCAAACTCAGACTGTGAGGCAAAACAACGGGCGGCTAAAGCGAGCGGCCAAGCAAGCGCGCTGGCAGCGAGCTACAAAAACAAAAACAAAACGAAAAACCTGACTCAGTGCGAAAGCAGCGCAGCGCAGCTGCTGCTTAAGCGGCTTAGAAAAAAGGCCAAAAGCGCAGAGCGACACACAGCAAATCAGAGATAGAGAGAGAGAGAGAGCAAGAGAGTAGCTTTAGCGCTCAGCTGTTGCAAGCTGACCAGCTATAGTGGAAAATATACAGGGTGTTGTTTGGACACGAGGTGATCTACAGAAAAACACACACAAAATTATTTTCCATATTGTTAAATAACTTTAAGAAAAAATCCATCAAGCTTTGCGTATTACATATAATTACAATAGAACATTTCTTTTACAGTTAGCTCACTATTTTCACGTTTCTTTTGCTTCGCGTTCGCTTACATTATATTTTTCTAATTTGAGCGTTTCCTCATTGTTTTATAGCTTTTACACACTGCATTAAAAAAAAAAATAATTAATATTCACTCTCGCGAACACGCAGAGTTTATTTTATACGCATATTTTATTGCACGTTTTATAAATAATTTCAACTGCTGCTCGCGCGCGAAGACTGAGAGAACTGAGTAGGCTAGCTATCGATAAATGAAAACAACTTCAATACAATAGCTAAATATCGCTAACAAATTAAAAACTACAATGTCATCGATATTTATGCCGATAGTGTTGCAGCTGTTTGCAGCAGTATTTACAAAATTTAGTGTGGCATGCGAAATGGAAGCTGAGGAATGCATCTTCTGCAATATTGCAAATGGCAAAACTGACACAGTTTTGGAAATGGAATCGGATGATTTTGCCATATTCAAAGACATAAAACCAGCAGCGCAACACCATTACCTAATTGTGCCAAAGGAACATTACGATAGTCTAAAAACGCTCAACGAATCACACATAAAAATGGGTAGATAAAACCACTGATAAAACGCAGTAATAAATTATACTCATATATTTATATTTTGTTTTTTTAGTGAGCCTCATGGAGGAACATTTGAAAAACTTCTTCGTGTCGAAGGGCATTTGCACAGCGGACGCGCTCTACGGCTTCCATTTTCCGCCTTTCATCTCCGTGAAGCATTTGCATATGCACGGAATAGCTCCACGTTCCCAAATGCCATTTTTCTCTCGGATGGTGTTTAAACCTTCGACCGCTTGGTTTAAAACTGTACGTAATATGTTTATTTATATAAGCTAATATTTCTCTAACTATCTAATCTCTGTTCATTTAGACCCAGGAAGCTCTAGCTTATTTACGGACGAAAATAATGTAGTTATCCACCTGGATTTTCACATGCCCAAAGAATTTTCTTTTAAAGAAATATATTTTGTATATAATATACTTTATTTTCGGTTTTTATGATATGCACTTAAACTAATTCTTAGATAAGATAAACACATTTATATGAACAAATAGCCGACACCTTAATGCGAGGGTAGATCGAAAAATATATAGTTTTTCACATAACGTTAAAGGAAGACAAAAGACATATATAATTATATAATAAAAATAATTTTTTAAATAAATAGATATATTTTTGTTAGTTCACACAATTTGCAGACAACCGTCGGACTATACAATAAATAATTAAGCTAATAATGTATATATGTATAAATTATTGTTGATTAAACTACTTAGTGTATTTTATAATTATGGTTTCTTTAGGCGTTCATAATTTTTGGATATTGTTCAGATTTTGTAAATCTTTGAATACATTTTTTTAATAGTTAAAATTTGTAATTTAAATTAGCTGTTTATGAATCAGTCAAATGTTGGAAATTTCTTTGAGAATTTGAATTCTGTGTTTTGTTTGTTTATTTTATATAAATATATTTGCATGTTAAAGAAATATTTAAAATATGAAAGATGATTGAAGTCGATTTACCAAATTACGTACTTTACATATTTTATGAAATACTATTAGCTCTATAAAAGCAACGGTTAATAGAGTTCATACACTTAAAAAATATTTAAAATGTTTATGTTTATGTATAATACGTAAGATCCTAAGCTAGATTTTGTGAAATACACTCAGTTACACAAATAACAAATATTTTGGATTTCTAATCTAAAAACCTTGCTTAAACATATTTCAAAGTTGTCAAATAATTTAATTTACATTAAACTTTTTTTTATATAAATTAGTACAATGTGCTCAATATTTTGCACATATTTTAGCGAATTTTTGGAATGATAAAATTCAGAAGATTAGCTAATCTCATATTGTAGAAAATTTTACAAAAATAATTTTATTAAAATTTGCTTAAAATTATTGATATACATTATTAAAAATTTTCCAATTTGTTAGTGTTTCCAAAAATGTAAACTATAAGCTAGTCATTCCTAACAATTGTTTTGTTTTTATCAGAAATTGTATAGAAATTTTCTTCAAGAGTAGTTAAAAGATTTTGGACAATTCATAAATATTTAAAATTGTTGGAAATAATATAGATTAATTAACATATTTTTTATGGTGTGCTTCTTCAGCTTCGAGTAGAAACTTTATGTAATGTAAACTCTTAGTTGATTCATAAAAATAGGTTTTAACATTTATGCAGATATTAAGAACATTCACAAGTTATTTGTTATAATTGATTTTTAAATATACAATTTACAATTCCATACAATTTTCTGTTCTAGTCCTCAAATGCTTGGAGATATTTTAGATTTGTTGAATTATGGGGAAATATGTTTATCATATAATTGATTTATAAATATGTTCACATTCAGATCTTATTTTTCTCTTATTTTCTGTGAGATGCCAGCTAGGATATTTCAGATTTCTTAAAAAAATTTTTTTTTTTTTGAAATATTAAAGATTTTGCAAATCTTTTGTATAAGTTCACATATAGATCCTTCTTTTTGATTTTCTTTAATAATTCTTAAAGGGTTTCCATAAACGATAGCACAAATATTTTTGAGCTTCAACATTTGTTCACATTCAACTGAGATTCACACCCATACCCTTCAGGAAGTTCGGATCATCGGTGTGGCTGTTCATGTGTCGCTTGAGATAGGAGCTCTTGAGGAATGGCATCAGGCAGATGACACACTTGAAGGGCCGCTTGTCGGTTAGATGCACCCGGCGATGCCTTTGCAGGGCACCCGGCTGGACATATGATGCCTGGCACTGGTTGCACTTGTACGGGCGCTTTCCCGTATGGATTCGCTTGTGTACCGTTAGATTGCCAGCATTGGCAAAGGTCTTGGGGCACTCCAGGCACTTGAAGGGCCGTTCGCCTGTGTGTGTCCGAATGTGTTCATTGAGCCGGCCGCGCTGGGTGAAGGCTTTCACGCAATGCGGACATTTGTAGGGTCGCTCACCCGTATGGGCGCGGATGTGGTCCGCCAGATTGCCGGGATTGACAAACTCCTTGGGGCACATCTGGCACTTGTGCTCACGCTTGCGGGCATGAAAACGCTCGTGCTGTATGAGTTTCCTTTTGCTCAGGAATTCCTTGCCACAGGTGGAGCAGCAATTTGTTGGGTTCTTGCTGGGTACCGACTCGTCCAGGGTAAAGTTTTCGCTATTTGTCTCACAGATCACATCACACTCGATTTTAAACTGGCATGCCGAATAGATGTCCGAGTTCCAGGTGTCCTCGACTTTGGTCTGCACATCTGTGTACTCACATTTGTCCATTTCATCAGTCAAATCCTCAATTTGCGGCTCTTCAATTTTCACTGAGATCATATCCTCAGCCCATTCGGCCAGCTGCATATTGTTCGTGTCGAGCATTTGCCAGAAATACTGTTGACTCTCCTCGCACTTACGCTTGAATTCATAGAAATGGCGTGCATCCGCAATGCAGGATTCGCACATTTGTTGAGGCAGTGCATCATCTTTGTTTACCTCGCAGCTGGTGCAGTCGGCCAGCATTTCGGCCAGGCTGGGCTCGTTCTCCAGCGCTGCATGTTCGTCAAAGATGTCCACTAATTTGTTTGTGTTATCTCTGCAAACGCGGCAGCACTTTTCCATTGCTTCAATTTATACTCTGCAAATATTGTATACAAATAAAATTGTTTGAAAGACAAATCAATCCTTTCAACTGACAGTATTTTTATATATTTTAGCACTATGTTACTTTGGCCACACAGATATATTCCACACGAATTTATATACCACAAAAATACTTAAACACAATTTAAGCGCCAAGATAACAGAAGCTGTCAGCTCTTACATTAATATGAAAATAATGAAAGAAACTGCATTTTATTTAAAAATATATATTTTATTTTAAATACTGTATTAAATGTGCAATTTTGTTGTCGATGATTTGCACACACTATCTATCGGTACTGAAAAACATCGCCGCAAGTATGCGAGGAAAAAAACAGCATCGTTTGGTATCGATATTATATCAACAATACAAGAGTCGACTTCAGCTGTGTGCGCTGTTCTCTGCTCGCTGCTTCGTTTTTCGTATGTTTGTGTCCGCTACCCATGCATGTGTGCTTGTGCGTGTGCGAGTGTGTGTGTGTTTGTGCGTGTGTGCGCTGTGGCATTTGTGTGTGTGTGTGCGTGTGTGCAAAATCAGTGTCTTTGAAAAAAGCAGAAAACTGATCAAAAGGCCACAAAACGACAAAGTTCCTATTTTACACAATTCGTGTCCCGTGTTCAGCATAAAAGTGGCCAAAATTCGACGAAAACAGCGCAAGTGTGATAAAACCACAGTGCCACAGCCGTCTGCAAAACGAACGAAAACAAAAGAGAACAGTGTTGATAGTACGACAAGCATTTTAAGCAGTGGCAGCGGCAGCGGTAGCAGCAGCGGCGCCGGCAGTCGAGCCAGCAGTGGCAATAACAACACCAGCAACAACAACAGCAAGCGCGCATACGCGTTTTTGGGCCGGGGAGCGGCCGACGTTGTACCTGAAGTTCGTTTACTCCCAACAACAGCAACAGCGCCAACAACACTTACTCGAGCAGCAGCGGCGGCGGCAGCGGCAGCGGCCGCAGCAGCGACAACAACAGCAACAAACACAGAGGCGGCTGCCGGCCGGTGTCCGGCTGAGGAAACTGTTGTTGTTAGTGGTGGGCGGGTCGGTGGGGGCGTGGAAGGCGCACAGCTAACAAAGGGTCCACTGAATGCGGCGAATTTGTCGCTGCCCGTCTGCTTGCGCACCGTGCAAAAGCTTGCCGCTGAGCTCGACGGTAAAGCCGACGTCAACGTCAACGTCAGCGACAGCAGCGACGTCGACGGCGACAGCGACGCTAACGTTAACGACATGTCGGAAACGGGCTGCCGGCACTATCAGAGCTACGTAAAGGAGCACAGCTACGATACCTTTCGTGTTATCGATGCCTACTTCGCTGCCTGCGTCAACAAGGATGCGCGTGAGAAAAAGGTGAGCAGCAGCAGCAACAGCAGCAGCACGCAGTAGCAGAACCAACCCTCCCTAACCCCTTCTCCATAGGCCATACACTGCAATTGCTTCGAGTGCGGCAGCTATGGCATCCAGCTGTACGCCTGCCTGCATTGCATCTACTTTGGCTGTCGCGGCGCTCACATCACCAGCCATCTGAGGGCCAAGAAACACAATATCGCATTGGAGCTGTCGCACGGCACGCTTTACTGTTATGCGTGTCGTGACTTCATATACGATGCACGCAGCCGTGAGTACGCGATAATTAATCGCAAGCTAGAAGCAAAGGATCTGCAAAAGAGCCTCGGCTGGATACCATGGATACCGACGCCCAAGGAGACGAATCTGCTGCTAGCCAATGCACGGCGGCGTCTGGTGCGACCCAATCAGACAATTGGGCTGCGAGGGTTGCTCAATCTGGGTGCTACCTGCTTCATGAACTGCATTGTCCAGGTGAGGTGGTAGATGATATATTACTACATTTGGTATAACAAAATATCGTATTGGAAATAAGTTTATATATCGAGGTCTTCCCAAAATTGTAATTTTATATATCTTATTAAGTATATATTTAAAGTCTCATCTCAAATATTTGCAAATAAGTTTATATATTTGAAGTCGCATCTCTAACAGCTGAATATTGCATTTTTTTTAAACAAAAAATCGATTATTGCGATAACAACTAATGCAATTGGTATTTATTTTAAATATTCAACAAGTTATCGCTTATTATTGTAGTTTCTTTGAATAAACAAATTTTATCGATTATAATAAAGGATAATGCGCCAATTTTGAAGGTTAACAATCAGGTTTAAGTTTAAAATGATGATTAAATTTAATATTACTGTAAATTAGTTTTAGATATAAGTAGGTATATAACTTCTATATCCAAATTGTGAAAATTTGTTTAATTATATATTATAAGCAGCATATACATATATGTATGTATATATACTATATCAATTATCATATATATAACTGGGATACTAAATTACTATTTACTTTCGTCTTTATAAAGTTTCGGTGACTGTAAGGGTATTTAAAATTCATCATGTTTACTCAATCTTTTCGTATATAATTTTAATCTTATCTGAACGCTTCTTCTTAGGCTCTGGTACACACGCCGCTGCTGAGCGACTATTTCATGTCGGATCGCCACGACTGTGGCAAGTCCTCACACAAGTGTTTGGTATGCGAGGTGTCGCGTCTCTTCCAGGTAAGCGCATGCGCCTTAGCCAATTTATATAATGATTGAACTTCGGGTTTGCTTCTGCAGGAGTTCTATTCGGGCTCACGTACTCCATTGTCGCTGCATCGTTTGCTGCATTTAATTTGGAATCATGCGAAACATCTGGCCGGCTATGAGCAGCAGGATGCGCATGAGTTCTTTATCGCCACGCTGGATGTGCTGCATCGGCATTGTGTGAAGGCCAAGTCGGAGCACGAGAGCAAGAGCAACAGTTCGAGCGCCACGGGTGGCAATTCCAGCTCCAGTGCCAATGCAACTGCGACGCATTCCTATGGCCAGTGCAATTGCATCATCGATCAAATCTTTACGGGCATGCTGCAGAGCGACGTCGTGTGCCAGGCATGCAAAGGCGTTTCCACCACATTCGATCCCTTCTGGGACATCTCACTGGATCTCGGCGAGACGACATCGCATGGCGGCGTCACACCGAAAACGCTGATCGATTGCCTGGAGCGCTATACACGGGCCGAGCATCTCGGCTCGGCGGCCAAAATCAAATGCTCCACCTGCAAATCGTATCAGGAGTCCACCAAACAGTTCAGCCTGCGCACTCTGCCCAGCGTCGTGTCGTTCCACCTGAAGCGCTTCGAGCATTCGGCACTGATCGATCGCAAAATCTCATCGTTTATTCAGTTTCCCGTTGAGTTCGATATGACGCCCTTTATGTCCGAGAAGAACAATGCCTATGGGGACTTTCGGTTCTCCCTGTATGCCGTTGTCAATCACGTGGGCACCATCGATACCGGACACTATACGGCCTACGTGCGACATCAGAAGGACACGTGGGTCAAGTGCGATGATCATGTGATAACAATGGCATCGCTCAAGCAGGTGCTCGACAGCGAGGGGTGAGTTGGCAATGGTTATATAAATCATAATATTAATATACTCCCTTTTTTTTTAGTTATTTATTATTCTATCATAAGAATGTCTTGGAATACGAGTGAGAGACATGGACAAGGACACAAACTCAGCGCATCTATAGAGACTGTTTATCTCGCTCTCACAAATCACTCCGCCACCCACACTCACTCATAGACACACACTCACAAAGTGTGGCACTCTTGGTGCCAGTGCATGTAGCATACACACACAAACACATCCAACTACGATTACTACAATTCAACTACAAATATACAAAATGCAGACAAGAACGCGGCAGCGCTTACAACAACAAGAAATCTTAATCTTAATTATTGAAAAAAAAAAAAAAAAAAAAAACATAAACATATTGTTCTAAGTATTTCCAGCACATAATGCTAAAAACTAAACGAATGCTAAACTACAAATTGCTTATGTATGTAAAACCAAGAAACAAAAAAGAAGAAAAAACAAACAAAAAATTTATGCATAGCAACCAAAATGCGACGCAAGAAAGAAACAAAACGAAATATCACAATTTTTGCTCTTACTCAAGAAATTTCCAACAATTTAAACGAAAAAAAAAAACAAAAAAAATGAAACCTAACTGATATAATCTTTGCAGTTAAGAGCAGCTACTTGTTTTGTTTTAGAGCGGAATACTTTTCTTTGTTTTATTTGTTTATTTCATAGTATTATTTAGGAAATTGAAATTGAAGAAACCACAACAAAAAATTTATTTTGAACAACTTGGGCTCGTCCGGGAATTGAACCCGGGACCTCTCGCACCCGAAGCGAGAATCATACCCCTAGACCAACGAGCCGGTTGAAGGTGGTCCGCCATATTGTATATTTCACATTGCTGCGGCGGCGCTGACTATTACAAATTTTGTATATATTGGGCAGCGCATGCAACACGTGTTAGAAAGAGACGACCATAGTCTGCCACGGAGTTCGTGTCCATGCTAAACTCAATTGCTGTTTTAGCAGAGACACACACCTATACTAGACATTTAGGTTATGATCCAGTTCTGTAAACTTAGGAATGAGATATATACTCTGTTAATGTATTAAAAGGTATATTGATCATTTACACAATTATGATTTTCATATATATAAATTATTTCTTAATTGTATTAAAAAATAACTATTAGCGAAAATGTAGTATTTCTCACTTTTAAAGTAGCTGAAGTTAGAGGTTAGAAATCTCATTGAATTATTGGATCAAATTTGAATATTATTACTATCTAATTTATCGAATTAATTATTTTTTAATTTAAATTATTAATACAGGCTAGTAAATAAAATTATTTTATTGTTTCTACATTAAAACAACATTAATATAGTTTAATTATAAATTAATATAAGCACATGGCTTTGCAGGCTCTTCAATAAAAATTATAAACAAATGGAGGAATATCCACAATATTGCTGTCGATCTCCGCTTATTTTACAGCACTGGCTGCCGATAATGAAACGCAGCGCACACGATCGGCTTCATTCAAAAACTATTGCAAGCTCAGCGAGTAAACAACAGCAACAGCAAGAGAAGAGGACTGCAGAATGGAAGTTCAGAGAAGCAATAAAGAGAAGAAATATTCTTACCTATCCCCATCCAAATTTCCTGTGCTCAAGGAGCCGAGGGTGGATTGCTGCGAGAACTGTATTTGCAATCGAAAGCGCGGCTCAATTTTTTGCACCAGTTGCAAAAAAACTTTCGTGGGTCGCATTGCGGAACGTTGTCAGATGCATCCAGAAGTAAGCAGCTGGATATTTAATATGTTTACATATAAATTAAATGACCTTGCGTATTTTCAGGTTGCATATCTAATGGATGCCCGCTATTGCGCTTTCTGTGGAGCCGCTGCTAAAGACTTGCAAATGGGGGATCCAATGTAAGCCTAATGTCGTTGACGACCAACAGTATGCAGAAGACATTCATATGTAAACAATAAGAACAAAGAAGTCCACAAATATATAAATACATTTGATTTTGTATGTAAGCAAAATAGAAAGGTTTTTTTTTATAACACTTCGGTATGCGTTTGTATGTTTGGGCGTATCCTCTTCTATATATGTACATGTATATGTGTGCGCATATCAGAGCTGCTTTTAGTTTTGGTTTGCATTTTACAACACCCTTAAACACCGTTACTTAAATATTTTTGCGTGATTGTGTTGCCAATTCAGCTGATTCCCTATTGGCATCTATAGCCGTAATACAATAAAAAAGCTATAGTTGCTTAGTCTTCTAGCGGAATGCGTGGGTCAGACAGCTGCTTTGGCTGGCGTTAATCTAGCTTTTTTATGGCCAGACAAAGCTACGCATCACTGACTTTAGTTGAATATTTTCGCGACGCAGTTGTCCACAATTTGCTTGTTATATTCTGCGTACGCACTCGTTTTCTTTGAAAGGTAATTGATATTGAGCACTAATTGTATTTGATATATACGCAATATGTGCAGTAAGCTATTGAATTTGTGACATTAAAAATTCGTCACTTTTTCGAATAGAAGTTTTTTTATTTTTATTTTTTTTTAAGTGCAATTCATGTGCATGTACACATACATAAAGGCATATGTATGTGTGTACGCATACATCTCTGTTTATTTGTGGAATCTTCTTCAAGACTTTGTTTTGAAAGTCATACAAAATAGAAATGTGAAGTGCTTTTAGGCTTTTTTTTTCAGTTAACTGCTGACGACAGTAATAATTCTAATAAAGATGAATTTCGAATTCGGAACTACTTTTATTAGTGGAAAGTGCATGCACACATAGATAAATGCATAGCCAGGCATGTGTGCTTGTATGTGTGCGCATACATCTCTGTTTATTTGTGGAAGCTTCAAGACTTTTTAAGTTAAACTGAATTTATGTAAATGTGAAGTGTTTTTAGGTTTTTTTTTTTTTCAGTTAACTGCTGACAGAAGCAATAATTTCCGACAAGATGAACTGGGAATTCGGAAATCCCGACTACAATAACAACGATAGGAACTGGACCAATGCCAACAACGGGAACAACAAGAAGGGCAAGAACGAATATTGGAACAAAAATAACAACAACAACACCAGGAACATCAACAATAACAACAACAACAACTACAACACCAAGAACTTCAACAACAACAACAATACCAAGAACGTCGACTACAAATATGACGCCAATAAGAACCAAGATAGGAACACCAACAAAGGCGAGCAGAAGGAAAATGGGTCTGACAAGAAATTGAAATATGATCCGCCGGCCGATTACAAGTATGAGGTGCATCCGTGCATCTGCAATCGCCCCCAACAGGCGTTCGAATGCGGACGTTGCCATCATTATTTCCATGGGCGCATTAACGAGCGCTGCAAGCAGCATCCATTGGTATGTTTACATAGACTTTTATTGAGTTGGGCTGAGAGCCATAATTAATGGTCAAATATTGTAAACTCTGTGTGCAGGATTACTTTCTGATGGACTTTCGCCAGTGCCCATACTGCTATGCACCCACCGCAGAGGTGAAGGTATCCAAATTGTCCTGGGCACAAATTCGCAAGATGGAAGATGCCTGCTTGCCGAATGACGGTGACGATTTGTAGCTGAGTTTGAGACTCGGCGCAATTGATTAATATTTTAACAAAAGAACAAAAAGAACGTACATTTAATATGTATTCATGCTAGGACACGATCTTGTATTAACTGAGATTAACATTAAATATAACATAGTTCTAGAGCACACCCAAATCTGTGCTATTAATCCATGTCCCATTGACTTAATACGCCTGCGGCAGGCAGAGCGACGCCGGTTGGGCTTAAACTACGCCAGACACCTGCACAGACACACAGACACACACACACAAACACTTGGAGCATGACATTTATGAAGTACTCAATGTCGTCGACAGCTTGGCTCGCAGTAAGTTCCACATAAGCTGGCAGCAAGAAGCATGCGGGCTCGTAAGTAGCAGCAGCAGCTTGACATGATTGCATGTTGCATGTGGCATATGGCATATGCCATATGGCAGATGTGGCAAAGAGCGCAGCTAAGGCAGTAGTTGGCAGCCGTGACTTGGCATCAAGTAAGTGACGTGTTGTTGCTAACGCCTGCAACGATTTAATCCCCTTTCTCTCTCTCTCACTCTCTCTCTCTCTCTCCGTTGTCAGGTGATAGACACAGTAAGCACTCAGTTGGCAGGAAGAGCCTTAACTAACAAAGGCCTGCAACACTTTGCTTTAAACGACTCTTGAGCACAGATCTGGCGTAATTTGTTAGCAGTTTGCGCTTAACTTATCCGCTGTGCACCATTATCGCATTCAATAGTACCGTTCCCGGGGCGCCATCAGTCAAATTGGCAAACAAATTCATGTCGCCGATAACAATTCAATCACTTAAAAGTTCAAATCGTCTTACAATGCCTCCCCAGTGTCCAACTGGCCAACTGCAACCACAATCTAGCTGCGCTGCTGCTGCTGCTGCTGCTGCTGTTGCTGCTGTTGCTGCTGCTGCTGCTGCTGCTGTTGCTTTTGCTGCTGCTGCTGTTGCTGTTGCTGCTGCTGCTGCTGTCTGAAACATCTTGTATATATAGATATGTCTCGGGGCTATGCTTAGCAGGGCATCTGCATCGGTTTGTTGGCAACTGAAGTTCGTACTTATCTCAACTGCTTGCTGCAAAGCCATTCAATGGATTCCCTTGATTTGGTCTCAACTCTCTGCAACTGAGGCCTTCAAGTGTCTGCTCTTGTCTGCTGCTGCGGCTGCTGCTGCGGGTGCTGGCCAAGTTTTAAAGCAATATTTTTCAACAGCAAACTTCCACTCAACAGGTCAGATCAAGTCAAGCTTTTATTTCCTCTAGATATAAGTATGTTTGTATGTAGTATAAGACTTTTTCGTTTAATTAGGAAGACAGCATTGTAAGCAGGGAAGTCCCTTTAATATTAACTTCATAAAAATTATAATAATTATATTTGAAATTTTCTATTTCACTATAAGAACTGCTCTCCTATCAATGCGGCCTAGCTCGCTTCAGTGAGTTAATCTAAGTAACTTTATATGATCTCCCATATGCATACTCCCCAACTGTCATTTGATATCTCTATTCTATATATGTATTTACCACTAGAATAATACTTCCCACAACTACATTGAGCTGTCAGGCCGCAGTTCGCTTTCATTGTTGCAGTTGCCGTGGATCCCCCACGTTTGCCTCGCCACCCCTTCAAACCGCGCCAACTGGCATTGGCTTCGTGTCTAATTTCCGTTGTCCTGTTGGGTCTGTCTGTTCTCTTGTCTCGCTTTTGCTTTTTTGCTGCCTCGGGTTCTCTGGCGAGTGAGCTGCACAATTGCATTCATGCTGATTTTATTTGCCGCAACACTCACAGCCGACAGCTTGACTGTCTGCTTGCCTGTCTCTCTGCCCGTCTCACTGTCCGTCCGTCCGACCCATTGTAAGTTTTCGGCGGCGGGCCAACAACTTAACCAAGTATTAGCACTATTTAAGAGCTGCAACGCGGGGCGGCAAATGCAGTTGAAAATTTTCCAATTAGTGCTGCTATTTGAGTTTCCAGCCACGCCCCCTAGACCATTGCATTCAGCTTGCCGTAATCTTGGCAATTAGTTTCGCCGACTCGAGACTCGAGGAGTTGCCGCTGTTGCGCCTGCTACTCGCTGCTGCAATTGTAAATTATGCAATTGCTTAAAATATTCATGAAAAGTTTCATGGCCAGTCAACAGTTGCCCCCAACGCATATAAAATCAGTTGAGCGCATCCTTTACGCGCCCGAATATGTATGTGTGTGTGTGTGTGTGTGTGTGTTTGTGTCCTCTGTTTGTTGGCGGGTGAAAAATGAATGTTGTTTCTCTCTTGAAGCATCTCGCGTGAGCGCCATTGTCAATGCACCGCCTTTCATTGTGCTCGTCCTCTCTGGCACTTTGCGTCGCCCGTTCCATTACTGAAGTGTGCACTTCCGCTAAATGGTATTTGGGGCAAGCACATAAGCTTACGATAGAGCAGCAGATAGCAGCCGACGCGACGCGACTTGGCCCCTCCACAGCATCCCCGCACATACCGCGACCCTTGCCTTGTTCCGAATCTAGTGACGCTTGCAATTTTTATGGCAAACATGACAGCGAAAAAACGGAGAGGACAGAACGAGACAGAGAGAGAGAGAGAGGGTGAGCATTGTTCCACTTTTGTAAGCATTGAGCTGTTTATTAGCGTTACTCTTATCTTTCAGAGGCATCTATATATTTATTCAGGCCAGGCAGAGCTTCTTGGACGGCCGCCGCTGTTCCTGCTCCATGCACTTCGTAATGGCTGTAATTGAATATTAAGCATGGTTAATCTAGCTACATATATATAGACTTGTAGTTGCATTAGACCAACCCCATCTGGAGCCCAGGACCACGGGGCACACAGCGTGCTTTGCCAAGGGATCTGCTGCACCGTCTGCATTCAAATTGTACCACAGCAGGGCGGTGCCACGCCTCGGCTGGACCAGAAGTCGCAGCTTTGGAAAAATAGTTGCGCCACCGATAGCAACGTCATTCGCCTGGATGGTTAAATAATAGAATATATTAGATTTTTTATTATAATTGTATAGTAATCCTGCTATCTCTCTGCTTACATAGAAGACAATTGTGGCTATGCGATCGGCGCGCGCTTTGCAGCTCTTCGTGTCGGCGCCTTGGCCCAGGGCAAAGTTGAGCACGTGCAGCTTATTATGCTCCATCATGCCGTAGCCTGTCATATCAGCAACTCTCTGATTTATGTTAAGCTCCACCCTCTTGGCTTTGGCTTCTGGAACTGACATATTCTTAATGGCTTTAATTTCACTATCGTACAGCACGTCGTGATAGAGCTGCACCACAGGCTCCAGACTCAACTGCTCCAGCTTCATTGGCGCCAGCTTCAAGTAAGCTGAGTTCTCGTAGACGTAGCGACAGCTTAAATGATCCGTCTTCCGCTCCGGCCAGAGACCGCGACACGCTCTCTCCATGGCCTTGGGTCGTGGCTTATACTTGGCTCGCAGATTAATGTAGATTTTCTCATCTACCGCCAGATACTTATCGACCATGTGAGTGATTTTATCGCTGCTGCTCTCACGAATGGCATTCTTCGTCATTTTTTCAGCCAGTTCTTGCCAGCTGGGATCGATGCCGTCCGCTGGCGGTGTCTTTGTGTTATCCGCTGTTAGAGAGCAATTATACTTAGTATATACAATGATTACTCAAGTCTCTGCTTACGCTCGTTGACAATCGCCTGAGCATACAATCTGTTCAGCTTTTTGCGCTTCAAGCCTAGCACGCGACTGAATAGAGTGTCATACGGCTGTCTGTATAGTCGCATCGCTGTGCGATACCAATGCGAGGATCTGGCATATTCTGTATCATTGAAGAGTCTTTCCGCCAGGGCAATGCAATCGGGTGTTGTAAGATACGAGCTGAATGGAAATCGAAAAAGAAAAAAACACCTTTCATTTCTATTCTTAAAATTGACTGCTCCATGTCATCCAGCCATCACCCACTTGTATTGCGTGTCGAGCAGCAAGCCCTTGGCCATGTGAGATGTCTCCAGATTGTAGACACTCTCAATGCGCAATAAGCCCTCAACAGCTGTCTGCAAGTCCTTCTCGCTTGGCACCAGCTTCAGATGCTTTTGCATCTTTTCCATTTTGGTCTGATGGCCAAGGTATGCCAGCCATTTGGGCCAGTCCTGTTGTAGCCTTCTCAGCAATGCAAATGCGTTAAGAGGATTTGCAACATACTCCTCTTGCTTTTTGAGGCCAGTCAACGGAATATGCTCTAACATCGTCTGGTAGCTGGGAGTAAGTGGATTTTGTAACTATTTCCGAAAGTGACTTTTGCAGTTGCGCTTGCACTTACAGCTTTATCATATTTAGCTTATCCTGCAAGTCCTTGCCAATGACTTCCAAGTTTTTTTTTAGTTTATTTTCCAGCTTCAACAACTTAACCATGCTCCCATCAGATCCGCTGTACCGAAATATTTCGTTTTCTTTCTGCATTTCTGCATTGCAAAAAACTGACTGTAATACTAGAAAACATATGAAAAACCACGTCATTTTCAGCCCTAGAAACTATTCCAATTGTATTCTATGTCTTTGAACGAGCGTTTACTCATGACATATTTCAACTATCAGTATTTTGTTTCCATGGTCTATTACTAAATAGACTACTATGTTTCATGCATTAGTCTTAGCGTGACCAGAAACCTTGAAAGATTTCAACATATTTTAGTAGGAAGTGTTATCTCTTCGACTACGTAATACCCTAGGTAACAGAAGTGGTCAATCAATTTCTATAATAATGCCATATTAGTCTATGTTGTCTTTCCTTCTTTTAATGGGGATATGTTTGATTAGATAGTATTAATAGTTTTTTTTTCTCTTTGAAAATTTCATATAGAAATAAATATAATTTAATTTAGCATTTAGCACTTAATATGAATTTTTGTTTTTTTGTTTTTGTGTTTTTTTTTACAATAACATAATACATAATGTAATTAGGATGTAATTCACATGTATGCTTAATATCTAAAATTTCATTATTTATATTTAACATAACCATTTAGCATTAATATTTAAAGCCCATATAATATTATTTTATGTACAAAACACTAAATTATAAACATACAATTTTAACATTTTGCATTAACATAGCATTTAGCATAACATTTTTATTTTTAACATTTATATTAACATAAATTAATATTTATATAGTTTATTAATTCTATTAATATAAAATTAACATTTCTTTTATTATCTTAATTATATCAGCAATTAAAATAATGAAAGTAATACAATGATCCGACTAACACGAGACCAGAAATGAGACTGAGTGAGCTATGCCCTAGAATCGCCTTTATATACATAGCTCTCGGACTGAGTTCAAGCTAAATTGTGTTATCGACCTATGTTCGATCTCGAGCAACTGACTCATTCCTGCATTGAGCAAACCGAATGTGAAGAGAATGTCCAAGATGGACTCAACAGACTTGCCGAGGTACATACGTACTTAGGCGATTTATTATCATGCTCGTTGTACACCATCAGCCTTTGGTCAGCAGTTACTCTATTGCTTCAGAGAGGTAAAGCTTGATGTAGAACATATCTAATACAATATTGGGAATATATATGTTTGCAATTATATTTTTATTAAAAAGTATTTTTTTTTATTGTTTCGTTTATTTCCTTAGCTGAGCTACCCTGGCCAGACAGGGCTTCCTAAAGAGCTGAGCATCCGAATGTATAAATTTGGTTAGAGCTAAAATACAAGACAAAACATTATTAAAAGCCATTCCTAAATGTAAGAGCGAAGCTTACTCCATCTTGAACCGGATATGACGGGACATACAGAATGCAGTGTAAGTGGATTCGGAGAGTCGTCATCGAATAGATTATACCAGTGCAAGGCGCTGCCCTTCTGCGGTTGGACTGTAACTTGAATGTTGGGAAAGACGGTTGCACCACCCTGCATGTCGCTCGCCTACAAGGGTAAATATATTTAAGTCCCCAATTCGACCTAATTTAAAGAAGTTTGATATTGAATACAGACATAGAAGACTATGGTAGCCGTACGATCGCCTATCCCGAAAGTGTCATTGATGCTCACACGGCCCTCCGTCGTGTAGTCGAAGTGGGGTATAAAGTGGCCGCCGATGCCGTAGTTGGCGATCTGCACTGTTTTACATTCATCGACTCCGAAGCCAGTAATATCTGTGATGCGTAGATTTATGCGATCCGTGAATGGAGTCATTTTTTCTACCCACTGCATTCGTGCCACAATTTGTGGCTTATCAGTTACATTCAATAATGGGTTTCTCGAAAGTCCGTTAGTAAAGTTAGTTGCATGCTGCTTAATATCCTCGATCTCGCTGTCGGAAATCACATTGTGGTATAGGACAATATACGGATCAAGACTGACTTCCTCCATTTTAAAGGGGGCCAGCCTGAGGAAAGGTGTTGTCGTCGTGTTGTAGCGACAATGGAGATTCGTGCGCTTGGGATAGCCTCCGCGGCAACCCAAATAGTACGGCTCTTGCAACTTCTTATCATGCCACAATACGCCACCATCCTCCTGCTCCAGCAGCTCGTTCACAAAGTGGTCCACGAAGGCCGGGCTCGATTTGTTGAGAGCCTTTTCGACCTCGTCCCGCACTTGTTTGTCACTCAGCAAAGGCTCCTGCTTGGCCATGACTAGGTGATAGTTGTTTGTATATGAATCTCGATCTAAAATTTACTTTGCCTACCTTTGAGAAAACGCATCTTGGCAAATTGTTCACGTACGCCGTTTAGTGCAGTGCCCAGTACTTTGTCATAGGTAAAGGCCTTTGGCTCTCGCTCCCGCTTCAGAGCTATGCTGTACCAGGCAAAAGCTCCTCCATAATCCTTCTTCTCATATTTGTGTTGGGCCAGAGCCAGACAGTCTCGTATGGAAAGCGTTTGACTGCGGCACATTTGAGTTTGTATAGTAAGCTTGGCCTGCAGCTAGCGAATAACTTACCCGAATTCCCTGTCTTGCAGTCTACCTAGTGACATGTCAATCGGATTGAGGTCATAGACGTACTCGATACGATCAATGCCCTTCAGCATTTCTAGCATGTCGTCCTCATTGGGCGCCTTGACCAAGAGCTCTGTCATGGCTTGCAGTTGCTCTGCATAGGCATTGTAATGAAAGCTTATATGACTCGACTCATATCGGATTATGATTTTGGGTTACCTGCGCCCACCTCCTGCTTTGTGTACTTCTGAAGTGTGGGCCAGTCCTGGCGTAACCGTCGAATGAGTGAAAACTCATGCAGAGGATTGGCGAGGTACTGTTTTTGTTCTTTTTCGGATTGAGGTCGTTTGCGTTCTAGTGTCTTCAGGTAACTGGCGAGATAATTTCGCAAATATTTTAAAATATTTATATATTAAATATTTTAGTTTCGATTATTAGTTAGGTTAGTTTTCACGCACATCTTCAGCGTTGCCAGCTTTTCTTCCAGTGCCTCGGCATACTCTTTCATACGAAGCACGAACTGGTTCTCAATATCTAAGAGTTTCACTAGACCCACAATTGAGCTGCTGTAGTACTCTGTATGGTAATCTATGTCACAGTTGACGCAGGGGCCAAACAGAAAGACGAGGAGACTGAAAATTGATACGTTTAACTTCATTGTCGGACGTTTGTAAACTGAGAAAGTCGAGTCAAGCTAAGTTTTGGCTTAAACTAAATTAATCATGGTACATTAAATACACCTGCAACTGCGAAAACCAATTAAATATGCATTTCTAATTCTAGAGACTTGTGGAAATGTTTTTGCAGATGACGACGGCATGGATATTGAGACCCTTAAGCATCGTTAAATTCTTGTTGAGGCATGAGCATGAATCATATCTATATGCTCTGAGTGAGAGTTGCAAATGTAAGAATTCCATTTATGCAAAACACTTGACGAGGAACGTGGTTACAGGACCCATCATCGGGCTTAAGAATATATGTATATGTAGACTGTAGAATGCCAGAGTTTCTAGAGAGCTGAGGAGAGTCTCAGCCTGATATGCATATAAACCAGTGGTTGAGACACTCTCAATAGACAGTTAATATATTATTTCGGATACAAAGGTAATGTCTAAAGTAGCAATGTTCGTGATTAATATATATCTGTAATTTATTCTTATTCAATAGTATTTTTTTTTTAATATTTCGTTAGCTAAGCATTCCTGGCCAGACAGGGCTTCCTAAAGAGCTGAGAGTCCGAATGTATAAATTTGGTCAGCGCTGAAATAAAAAGATATAAAATATTATTAAAGGCAATTTGTAAATGTAAGCAAAGCTTACTCCATCTAGAACCGGATATGACAGGACATGCAGTATGCAGTGAAAGCGGATTCGGAGAGTCGTCATCGAATAGATTATACCAATGCAAGGCGCTGCCCTTCTGCGGTTGGACTGTAACTTGAATGTTGGGAAAGACGGTTGCACCACCCTGTACTTCGCTCGCCTACAAAAGGTAAATATATTAAATCTGCTCAATTAGACTTAACTAAACTTGAAGAAATTGCATATTGAATACAGACATAGAATACTATGGTAGCCGTACGATCGCCTAGCCCGTAAATGTCTTCGATGCGTAAACGGTCCGGCGTCGTGTAATCGAAGTGGGGCATAAAGTGGCCGCCGATGCCGTAGTTGCCGATCTGCACTGCTTTAAATTCATCTACTTCGAAGCCAGTAATATCTGTGATGCGTAGATTTATGCGATCCGTGAATGGAGTCATTTTTCTTACCCACTGCATTCGTGCCACAATTTGCGGCTTATCAGTTACATTCAAATCCGGACTAATCGAAAGACCGTTAGCAAAGTTAGTTGCATGCTGCTTCATATCCTCGATCTCTCTGTCGGAAATCACATTGTGGTATAGGACAATATACGGATCAAGACTGACTTCCTCCATTTTAAAGGGGGCCAGCCTGAGGAAAGGTGTTGTCGTCGTGTTGTAGCGACAATGGAGATTCGTGCGCTTGGGATAGCCTCCGCGGCAACCCAAATAGTACGGCTCTTGCAACTTCTTATCATGCCACAATACGCCACCATCCTCCTGCTCCAGCAGCTCGTTCACAAAGTGGTCCACGAAGGCCGGGCTCGATTTGTTGAGAGCCTTTTCGACCTCGTCCCGCACTTGTTTGTCACTCAGCAAAGGCTCCTGCTTGGCCATGACTAGGTGATAGTTGTTTGTATATGAATCTCGATCTAAAATTTACTTTGCCTACCTTTGAGAAAACGCATCTTGGCAAATTGTTCACGCACGCCGTTTAGTGCAGTGCCCAGTACTTTGTCATAGGTAAAGGCCTTTGGCTCTCGCTCCCGCTTCAGAGCTATGCTGTACCAGGCAAACGCTCCTCCATAATCCTTCTTCTCATATTTGTGTTGGGCCAGAGCCAGACAGTCTCGTATGGAAAGCGTTTGACTGCGGCACATTTGAGTTTGTATAGTAAGCTTGGCCTGCAGCTAGCGAATAACTTACCCGAATTCCCTGTCTTGCAGTCTACCTAGTGACATGTCAATCGGATTGAGGTCATAGATGTATTCGATACGATCAATGCCCTTCAGCATTTCTAGCATGTCGTCCTCATTGGGCGCCTTGACCAAGAGCTCTGTCATGGCTTGCAGTTGCTCTGCATAGGCATTGTAATGAAAGCTTATATGACTCGACTCATATCGGATTATGATTTTGGGTTACCTGCGCCCACCTCCTGCTTTGTGTACTTCTGAAGTGTGGGCCAGTCCTGGCGCAACCGTCGAATGAGTGAAAACTCATGTAGAGGATTGGCGAGGTACTGTTTTTGTTCTTTTTCGGATTGAGGTCGTTTGCGTTCCAGTGTCTTCAGGTAACTGGCAATATAATTTCGCAAATATTTTAAAATATTTACGTATATATAATATATTAAATATTTTAGTTTCGATTATTAGTTAGGTTAGTTTTCACGCACATCTTCAGCGTTGCCAGCTTTTCTTCCAGTGCCTCGGCATACTCTTTCATACGAAGCACGAACTGGTTCTCAATATCTAAGAGTTTCACTAGACCCACAATTGAGCTGCTGTAGTACTCTGTATGGTAATCTATGTCACAGTTGACGCAGGGGCCAAACAGAAAGACGAGGAGACTGAAAATTGATACGTTTAACTTCATTGTCGGACGTTTGTAAACTGAGAAAGTCGAGTCAAGCTAAGTTTTGGCTTAAACTAAATTAATCATGGTACATTAAATACACCTGCAGCAGAGAAAACCAATTAAATATGCATTTCTAATTCTTGAGTGTTGTGAAAAGGTTTTTGCAGATGACGACGGCATGGATATTGAGACCCTTAATCATCGTTTAACTGTTTTAGGGGCACGAGTAGTTGAGTCCATAGAATCATATCTATATGCGCTGAGTGAGAGCTGCAAGTGTAAGAATTCCATTAATTCAATTATTATATGAAATATATATGTTTATTAAAGCCTACTCCACTTGCAGCCCACTAGGACGGGACATGAGAAATAGTTCAGGCGTCGCTGCGCCTCTAAACCATGTGAAATCAGCGCGGCGCCCTTTTCTGGTTTTATATAAAGTTGATGATCAGGAAATATAGTAGCGCCACCTTGCGGTAAATCGTTTAACTATAGAGGAGAATTTAGCCTAGTTTTTATAAAATTTATAAAGAGGTATTTAGAGCACTTACGAAAAGCGTAATGGAGGCTTTTAGACTGCCCGATCGAGACTAAAAGTTTTAGATTTGATTGGAAATGATATATATTTTATATGTCATATAATTTACCTGTTGCTTTTCAGCTTTTACAGCCAAGCCGTCGTACTGCAGCACGAAATCTTTGCCAAAGTCCAGATTCATTCCCGTCATAGCCCTAAGGCGATTATGGAGTGCATGATTCAGCTCTAAGTTTATTGTTTTGCTAGCATATTGCTCAGTTCGATCATATTTTATGCTGTCTTGCCTTATGTTCAGCAGTTCTTCAATTTCTTTGTCGTATATGACATTATGATAAAGGGCCACATAGGGTTTCATGCTAAGTAACTCCACTCTGAAGCGTGCCAGCATAAGAAAGGGTTCAGTGGAATTACTGTAGTAGCAGAACAATTTTCTCACAGCTGGAAACTGACCTCGACAGCCGCGCTGTGCTGTCGTCACATATTCGAGCTTGTGCTGCCATAATAAAGTCAAGTAAGACACAATAAATACTATCTGAATTATTATCCCAACTCACCTGATTGTTTGCTTTCAGTTGCTGACCAAACTTCTGCAGAGCTCGTCGCTGCAGCCACAGTGAAATGTGTGAATCGGCGACGTAGTTAAGCACATCCAAAGCCTCCTCGATATTGCCTATAAGATATTTATCATAAAATAATTCTATATGCCCCACTTTTCCACTCACCACTGTTAGATAACATGGTGACATACATTCTATATAAATCAGTGATACTCAGTTGATATACTTCACCATACAGCTCGGCATGTTGAGCATAGTTAAACTGCTCCAGGGCTGCCTTCTGCCAGGCCAAGGCGAATTGTTGAAGGGATCTCTGCTGACAGAACTCAGCCAGTGCAAAGCAATCGAGAGTGCTTAGTTGAAAACTAGAAAGTGTGTCTATTATAGATTATATTCAGCCCAAGAGCCTCTCACTCACCTATACTTGTTGCGATCGATTATTCCTTCAGACAGCTGCTTCGCATCCAAATCATAGTGGCTCTGTAGGTATAGAAGTGCTTCCATTGCCTTATCCAACTCCTCGACCTTGGGTGACTCCATCTCAATCAGCTTATTTACGTTCGCAACTCGAGCTGGGCCCACAGATTCGCTAATGTAAGCCTCAAAATAACTCCAATCCTCATGCAGGCGTCGTGTAAGCGCATAACTGTTTAACGGATTTGCTACATACGCCTCGGGGTCTGGGCTCCACTGTTGTCTCTTGGCACGCACTTCAGCCAGAAAGCTGTCAGCTCAGAAATCAGGAAATCAGTTATTATCCCATCATTTTTATTGCCGCACTTCATTTACCCCTCGATTGTATTAATTTTGATTTCCAATTCCTTCGTATACTGGCTGAGCTCGTTTATAAACCGACTTTGGGCAGATTGAAGTGTTTCCTTTGCATAATAAACAGGAATCCATAGAAATGTTAGGTATATCGAACAATGTAGACTTGGCCTCATATTAAAAGTTTATAGGAGATACTTCATTGTGCCACTTATGGAATTATGGAATGCTCTTAATGCCGTTAGTCAAGGTAAAACCATTGATAATGGTAAATCAGGGTATAATGCGTGGAACAGGCAGCTGGAGGCGTGACAGATTCCATAAAGTGTATATATTCTTAATGAGGGCTGCGTCGTTATAGCGTTGTCTGTCTGTCCGTCCGTCTGAGCGTCGAGAGGCATTCCTTTCTGTTCTTTTGCAGCTTATACTTTTCTAATTCTATAGGAAATCATCATTCAGCTGTTGTTCCGTCAAAGAATAAATCTATTTGTTTCCTTCACAGCTTACGACCGAAGTGTACTTCTGAAATGTTTACGATTTATAGCAAGAAATTGTAATGTAAGCCCCTGCTCTGGTATTAGGAATAAAAATCCTTCATATGAGTGACCCTGAACGTGTATTATGCTGTAAGAATACATTCGAATGCAAAGCTTTTCTTGTATCTTGTCTTTATACTTGTTCACGTAGCTCACGAAAAAAGAGTATTGATTTTCAGGTAGTTAAGGAATTGAAATGTGGAGTTTATACTCATTTGTATCGTAAAGTCTTGCAAGTAGATCGTAGTTGAAATGAATTGTAAATGAATTTCCGAGCAAATTTAACTGTGAGCTTTTACAACGAACGAGTATTATGAATTCGTGCACGCCCGACTCAAATATTCTTACGTGTTTTTCGATTGTGCTCTCACATGCAGCCGCTGAGGTATACCCAAGCGCAATGCTATTTGTCAGATACTTTGCCACCTTGATATACAGAGAAATGGAAAATATGCGCTTTATCATTTGCACAGCTGGGACAGTAGTATTGCTCTCGCCTCATCCGAGCTATCATTCATGTTTATGAACCTATTTAGATAGCACTTAAACAATTTATTTAGGCTATTGTTTGCCGACCAACAGCTTAATGTCTGAGCCCTGGGCACTGTATTGATTTATTTTGGCGCGACATTAAACCATTTAAATTGCAAATTTCCAATTCCAATGTCTCTCTATGTGTGTGTTTGTGTGTGTGTGTGGCCAATGGATATTTATGCGCCCGGTTGTGCTTGCACAGCTGGTTAGACGATTGTCTTTTGCTTGATTTGATACAAATAAATTCCTCTTGATTAAACATGTGTCATTAGGTAGTTGTGTCTGGGACCATTTCATGCTGGATTAACAGGCAGTGACCTTTGCCCTGCCACATGTAATAACTAGCACATAGATATAATCGATATTTTGCAATGTTTATGTGTATTATAATTATATAATAATATAAAATATAATTATATAATTTTATATTAATATAAAATATTATAATACATATAATATCGAAAGGATAGAGGCAGTTGGATATGTGGAAATATATTGTAGGTAGATTATATTTTGCATTTTTTGTTTCTTTATCATAAGCCGTTTGCTTTGTATTTCTATTGAGACTTTGTTTCATAAAATAATAGTAAGGTTCTAAATTCATTACTATTAGAACTAGAGAGATTTTCACTGTGGGATGTATATTGCTTAAAGTATTGAATAGGTTATAAATAATATAAACAAAATTGCTTGTATGGAAACCTGGCTCACTACTGGAAAGCTTAACCGCGTATGTCATACAGTAGAATGCGGTTACAAAGACTCCGCTTCTAGCGTCCCTATGATTATTGCGATGAAAATTCTGGTCCCCTGAGAAACTTATATGGGCACACTTATACCGCTATATGGTTTCTTATAACCGGATTCTACTGTCTATCTCTTATTAACCCACGCTCGACTCGAGAACTATTTATCTTGTGTTTTTGAAATTTGCCTATGCATATCTTTCATATATCTTATCCTATAAATCTAACAGATTTGTTTACATGCTCTTCTGCATATTAATAGAAAAACGCCAAACAACAACTGCTTACGCACTCCATTGCTGTTCCGTTGCGTATTACGTATACGACCCCGTATAGCATATTTTCCTAGCACGTTAGACATTTGTGTGCCATGGTGCATTATAAGCCAATTAAATGTTGTTGCTGATTGGACTCGGTCTCGGTGACACAGTTTTTGTTATTTCACTCGTTGTCGTGGCAATCGGGTTGTGCAAGGAGTTGAGTTCCACACGTTGGCAAGCATTAAGCAATGCTTTTGACATGTCAACATATTTATCTCTTTAATATAAATATGTATATATATATATATATATATATATATATATCAAATCCGAAGTGAACAAGTTGCAATTGAATGTTGCAGATTTGTTGTGGTTCCATTGCCTGGCCATCGTCTTTGTCAGTGTGTGTGTGTGCTTGTGTGTCTTCCAATATACCCCATATATGATTATCTTTCTATTAAACCAAGCACTGACATTGCTCGCTCTCTTTTGTATGTATGTGTGCTTGCAACAATTGATTTTGATTTCGAGTTGGCTTTAAATAGCATTGAGTTACGGCAATGGCAAATGGAAATGGAATAGAAATAGAAATACTTGTCTCTTACTTTGCTTTTTCTTTTTTTTTTTTTTTGCTTTTGTATTAGGTGCGGCGCTTCATTTACTTTATGTCTTTTGTCTGCTCTTTATGCATGTGTATATACATATATGGATTTATATATATGTATATATGTATATGTATATCTGTTGCCAGAATTTGAATGAGTTTCGGTCTTTGACGTTGGGGCGTTGCATTTTTATGATCTCCCACATTTGGGAAGCTCTGTCGTGCCATCACGAATTGTTTGCGAATGTTCTTTTATTTATTGTATGGCTACTTGATGAGCTTCTGCTAAAAATGTTTTATGGCCCATGTGCCAAGTTCTCTGTCGTCATACGCACGCCGACATTCATCAATCATCGATGGCAGTCGCAGCATTTCAAATGAAATGCGCTTTTAATACATTTCATGGTTTTCCCCCGCTCTCCTGCTCTCTCTCTCTCTCTATGCATTTATTTTTGTTGGCACGCAAGATTTTACGAACTGCTTAGAAATTGTCCAGCATGAAATCTACTTTAACTGCTGCGCCAGCTGCGGCCATCAACCTGTTGAACCTTCATTTATCACCAGACGCCCGGCGAGTGCTCAAAACGGCGGAACTAATGTGTCCAGCGTCACATTTGAATTATGTATTATTACGCTGAATTTTTCCCGCTCCTCCTGCTGGCATCTTTAGGGTGGGGCGGGTGGTCGGTTGGGCGGTGGAATCGGAATGCTGTGTAGAAGTGACGGGGCGTGAATTCCACACGATTTACTAACACAGCTTTTGGCCAGCAACATTGGCATAGGACGGCGTGTCATTCAGCCTTGCAATTTATAACCTTAAAATACCCCTAAAAAAATCAATAGAAAGTCTAGACTATGAAATACCCTTTAGTAGAGAATAATAATAGTTGAAAATAATTATATATTTAATATAAATATAATAATAAAAATAAAAAATTGATAATAACATATATATAAATTATATAGATATAATAAATAAAAATCCTGTGCTTCAGTGAATTTATTTTTTGTATTAGAGCTAAAGTCTAGACTATGAAATATCCTTTAGTAGAGAACAATAATATTCGAAAATAAGAATAAAAATAAAAAGATAAAAATAAATAAATAAAATAAACTTTAAAATCAAATGATAATCATGTATTTAATTTAATTTATTTTTACATTCGAGCTAATTTTTTTAAAAATAATATACATAATAATTATATATAACTTAACTTTTAAAATATTTTCTTTAATTTACATAAATTTCCCATACCCGAATATTTTTAATTTCATGCATATCATTTGTTTATATAACTCCTAATTGATTAACCCAGGGTTTTTGAGGGTATCTATATACAAAATAAAAATCGATTTATCACTTGTTTGAACAGGTCCAACTTTGGGTGAAATGTTTATTTTTGTTTGTTATTCTTTTCTGTTTATTTTATTTCTTTTGCTCATTATGGGCTTGAATTGATGGTCGCTCATATTTTGCACTCGTTGTCCTTGTCGTCCCTTCGAATGGCTATTAAAACAATGGCCAGGCCGGCTAGCCAGGTCTATTTCAGTATCGAGCCGGTGTTATTGGCTCACATTACGTTCAGTGTACTTTAATGTATACCCTGTAAACCTAGAAGCAAGAACAATAATTGGCATTAAGTTTATAAAATATAGAAAATTAATAAAAAAAATTATATTAATTTATGGTGAGAAGATTTTGCTTTCCAAGTCCTTCAATGTGAAGTATGTACACCTGGGTATGAATTTTCACTTTGATCTCGAATTTAATTCTGTTTTATTAGGCTAAGCAATTAAGCCTCTTTGAGCCTATTTGATTGAGCTCCATCTGGTTGGTTATGCCAGCTTTGCGCTCTAATAATCGGATGCTGATTGACATTTGAGTTTGATGTTAGTTACGTTTGTCGCTCAGGGCTATAAATTCACGTAGTAACTTCCTGTTGACCTTGACCTGGTTCCCATGCAGCCAAATGAAAAGCTGCAAAGTCCTATTATATCTCTCGCTTACGCTTATCTGCTTCTTCATACATATCGAGTTGTTATCCTTGCACAATGATGAACATGACAGTTGATTCAGCGTAATTAGCAGAGTAACCAGTAGAAAAAGAGATGAACAAATTATGTTTTGTATACCCTGAACCCATTGGAAATGGAAAATTGTTGATGTGCAATGTTGAAGTCGATTAAAAACCTTATCGAAAATTAGTTATCAAATTATATCTCATACATGCTTCGAGGTAGACTTAAGAAGTTGTCATATATATGTGTATTTTATAGAATTTCAATTTTTGTTGTAAATTGTATTTTCACAAAGTATTAAGTATTTTTTCCATGTTTTTCTTCTAAGTTTTCCTTCTAATTCCTTGAAGTATTTTCTTTAAGTTTTTCTTCCAAGTATTTCCTCTGGTATTTCTTTTAAGTGTTTCCTCCAAATATTTCCTCTACGTATTTCCTCTACAAATTTACTCTAAGTATTTTCTATATTTCCTCCTTTCAATGTTCGAATGCCCGACCTCCACCAGTTCTGAGCGACTGAAGAAATGCTGCAGCTGCTGCCCTTTATATAGGGCGACTTTCACCCAACCACTCAGTCGCTCTCAAATGTTGAGCCCCGTACCAGGTAGAGATCGTCACAGTCAAGCTTTAAGTGACCAATGAGAACACGCTCTGCTGCTGCAAGCACTCTAGCTTCGTTTTACTCAAATATAAATGCCTAATGAATACCGCTGCATACATATAGACAACTTAAATGATCTTCTGTCGCTCTTCCTCGTACCTTGCTCTTGTTAGGCATGCAGACAGAGACACAGATTGTGATATAGGCAGAGAGAGGCACAGAGAGCTATACAGACACACATACGAACTGAGAGATAAGCAAACGGACGCTGCTCATGAGTATATGTATGTGTATTCTTGATCATTCTAAATAAAGTAAGAGCTAGAGCTAGAGTCAGTTTGAAGAGAAAACAAAGAGTATGATATACGAATCCAAATATAATTATATATTATAATTTACTAAATAATTGCTAAAGGTAGAACGGTAGTTATCTATAAGCACAGTTGATAAAAAGTAATGTCGATATTATAGTAAATTATTATATTGACTGATTAATGAAATAATTAGCTGATTAATTGACAAACATACTAAGGCTGATTGGAATAATAAAATATAATTTACTAATGGTCGAAGTAATTAGCCAATTGATTAATTGACTGATTAAATTGACAAAGTTAATTCTGATGTATGTTGGAGTATGATATACTTAATATTATCATCACTAAATTACGATTCCATTTAACCATATATATAGGGTGCCTAGTATTGATTTATTGAGCAAAGTCTTAGGTCTATAGATATTTACAGGGGCTGCTGAGCTGAGCATTGCTAATGACCACACAGGGACCGTGCTGCACCTGGACGGAGCTCTTGCGTCGCCAGTCGCACTCGATGGGCACGAATTGGCCCTTTCGGATGACCGTCTTGGGCTTGGTGGCACCGTAGCAGGTGTACTGGGAGGGGCTGCGTGAGACGGGCAGGCACTGCTCGTAGACCTCCACAATGTCCGGATGAATGCTGTCCAAGCTGAAATCCTGGCCGCAGCGCAATTGCTGATGGATGTGCAGACGGCTGCGTTTCTTGAACAGCGCCCGACACCGCCGACATTTGTAGGGACGGGAGCGACCGCGACTCGGCTGGATGGGTGTGTGCAGCTCGTGCAGTCGCTGGAATCGGCCCATGATATCGTTGAGTATGAGAAAGTTCTTGTTGGGTCGCTGCTGCAGCGTCTCGCTGATGTGATACGGCACCACGTACAGCTCCTTGGTGGTCAGGCACTGCTGCAGGCCGTAGAGATTGACGCGCATGTTGGGCGGAAAGTAGCCGTTGCATTCGCGCTGATGCTTCACATAGACTGCCCGCAGGCTGGCCAATTCCGATTCACTGGTGGTGGTGGTGGTAGTGGTGGTGCTGCTGCTGTGGCTGAGCTGCAGCGCCAGTGGGAGTGTGGCCAGGCTGTTCGCGCTCAGCGTCTCGCTCTCCTCCCGCTTCCTCTTCAGCTGAACGCGAATGCGCGTGATGCTGCACTCATCCAGGCTCACATCGTGGCTGCTGCAGAGATAGTTCTGGATGCGCTGGGTGAGCAGCTCGTAGACAACGCTCACGCATTCCTCGATATCATAGTGATGCTGCACCACCACCGTGCCACTCTGGCAGATGTGCACCTGATTCTGCACCAGAACATAGCAGGCCACCTGGAACTCCAGACGCTGCGTGCCATTGTGGAACATCCAGCGCAGCAGCTCGGGCACCGACGTGCTGCACGTCTCGGCCAGAAACTCGTCCAGCTTCTGCTGTGCACTCTCATCGCAGAAGAAGAACGTTTCCAGCTGCCGCGCCTCAATGATGTCCAGGACGGCTTGCTGCTGCTTGGTGAGCTGCGGCTGCTGCTGCTCGCCACGGCGCAGCCAGTGCTGGCTGGGCGGCTCGTCCGCGTCGATGCTGCTGCGGCAGGTGCTGCACTCATGCAGCTGCCCCTCCACGTACCACTGATGATGGAAGGTTTGCTGGTCGCCCTCGTTGCTGAACACAAAGCTGGATATTGGCTCCATGTCGACGGTCGATTGGCTGAGTATCGATGCTTCTGATGATGTGTGGCTGCGCGGAAGTGTTTGCGTTGACTGATATGCCTCGAGGGCGGGTAGCGCACTTATATGTGAGCCTACAGGTAGGCACAGCCACCCACCCAACCACCTGTCGGAGGTCGAGCCCAGATGTGCAGCAGCTGCACTGCAACGGACCTTTTTCGCCGGGATTTATAGTGGGTAATCCCTGCAGCAGGCCTCAGCAGTGCCCATAAAAAAGAAAATATTAAAGCTCACTCTCACCCTCTCTCTCTCTCTCTCTCTCTCTTTCTCTCTTTCTCGCATTCTCGCTTAGGGCAACTCTTGAGTGTAAACTAGTTAAGACTCTCTAAAATTGGTTAGCTCAACTTGTTTGCCTGCTGCCTGCCTCAATTTGCATCTGTCGACCACGAAACAAGCTGCCATTGCTCTCGCTGCAACTCCATTGTTGTTCTACTGCTGCTGCCAGCTGTCTGGACGCAAACAAAATGGACAATGGACAGTGGACAATGGACAACCGACAATGGCCACAGCCGTGGTGCTAGTGACGTGACAATGGCGTGCCACAGTGGCCACAGCGGCTGACCAAGAGGTGGAGCTGGGCGACATCGCAAACAGGCCGCGCTGCAGTCACTTAATTTCCTTTTCCGCAATATTTTTTTTTTGCTTTTTTTCAACGCTTCATTGTCTGGCTGCGGCTTTGGTTTGATTGCCTTGTGGCTTTTAAAGGCAGCGCCGTCATTAAATAAATGCTCGAGAAATAAACACTGGCAATTAGATGCTACTTAAAGCAGATGTATAATGGCGTATTTGGAGTGCACTCGTTGTAGTGCACTACTTTCATTCTCTCTCTCTCTCTCTCTCTCTCTCTCTCTCTTTGAGTGCTCTTAACTATGTTTTCTTCTTAAGTATGTTTTTTGCTGTGCTGGTCAACATTCATGCATTCCTCTTTAAAAATAAACCTTCTCTAAAAATAGCTTTTCTCTGGAGTCATAGTCTCTCTCGGTGATAGTATATCATATCTCGGTCATAGTATATATTCATATTCCCATACTAAATCATTTTGTATGTTGAGTAGACTCGTAAGTTATCCAATGCTCTTTCTCGCAGGTGAATTGAAGATATATGGCAGATTAAAGCCATATGCGTATGCTTGAATAGGTTAGATTGCATAAATTAAAATTTAATCAGCCAATGTATATTTTTAGCGCATTCCTACATTACAAATATATTTGGCCTTAAATATAATATAGAATTATTATTATCGATTTAAGATATTTTCTACCTCAGTAAAATATTATATAGAAATATTTTACATATCATAAAAAACTAACTTTTTATAGCTGATGAGCCAATGAAGATCTAACTAAACAAATTTAACAAATACAACAACACTACAATCTATTTTATAATTTGACATATCAAATTTTAGGTATTTTTTATTGAGCTCTAAACATTTTTTTTCTTCTGTCTATCAAATGGAATAAAGTATTTAATGGTATTTCATTTTACCATATTTTTTTACAAATTATACCAATTAATTTTTCGTATTAAAAAAAGATAATAAAATATGAATTGGGTCCCAAATGATATATTTTAATGCGAAAAAATAAACAAAAGTATATAAAAAAAATTAGGTTTTTTTTATTGCTCTCTAAATATCTTTTGTTTTAGAATTCAACGGTGGCATTCAATGAGTATTCAAAGTTCCGCATTGTCCATTTTTTCATCAGTTTTATTTATTTTATATTTTTGGCAAAAGGATGCTCGAGTAAACAATGCCATAGAGCAGAGGGCGTAAAACTTAATTAAGGCACTGTTGGCAGCTCGGGATGGAGAGAGAGAGAGAGAGAGAGAGAGAGAAATAGATGACGTCGTCTAGTAGCTGGAAAATGCAGTGAGGTGAAAGGCATTCGACAATTGTGCCAACAGTCGACTGTCTGTCTGTCCGTCGGTCTGTCTGTCTGACTGTGGCATGGAGATCTTTTAAATAAATACGATACTATGTAGCAGAGGGCATGAGGAACAGGGTCAACTGGCAAACTCTCAAAGGTAGTCGCAGCACTTTTGCCAGCCTTCAGCTGCTGCCGTTGGCATTGAATCATTCAGCATCAAATCAGAACAAAGTGCGACAGCGGTGTTTGCCATTTACTACTAGTTGCAATCGAATGCCAAACAAGCAACACAAGCAACACCTCGGCAATCAAATGGAATATAAATCACGCGAACACAAATAAGAAGTTCATGTGTGTGTGTGAGTGTGGCAGCTTGATAGAGCTTTCGTGGCAGCCATGCGGTGTGCCACAGCGTTAAGAGTGCTCCATCATAGAATGTTTAATCGCCGCATCCGCGTGACAGACTATATTCTATATTTATCTACTCTGCTGCTATGAAGCTGCTCTGAGTGCCAAGCTGCTTAAGGGCTCAGTGCTGGCTCATATAATCGACAGGTTATATCTCGCATGGTGGCATGCAGCCAGGTGTGCAGCTGACTCATAAAAACCGAAGAAGAAGAAGAAGACAAACTGCAAGACAAGTGGAGACAGCGATGGTGACGGCCCAGGTTTTTACTTAGTTTTCTTTCTCCTTTTTTTATGGTCTGCTCAAAGTGTTGACAGTTTTTGCTCTAACTCACAATTTTCTTTCTTCCTTTTTTGCGCTCTTTGGGTCTCCCCTTTACTGAAAGGCTGTTAAGAGTCGCACATTGACCCTGTGCACAGCTGGAAGGGAATCATTAATGAATCAGTGCTGAAAGCTGGAGGCGTGTTGAAGCAGTTAAATCTGCATTTGATTTACTAAGCCTAGAGTTTAGGCCAATGTGTGGTTGAGAAAGGCCTAAAGGTTTGGCATTTGGCAAACAAATTTGATACAGTTTATCAACAAAAATTGTATCTAGTTGAATGTTGAATGTTTGGTTGAGCTGTGCTAAGTGCTAGCTTACTTAAAGACTGTTTGATTCTGTTAATTAAATTGTAGACTTTTTAGGTTGTTAATTAGGTTGAAATATTTTGCTTGTGGCAACTTGCGATTTCACTCAGAGAGCACGACCGATTGCCTCGGGTTTCAATACCGAAGCGTTCTTATTCCATTATTTTGTCTCTAAAATGGAACGCATGATGAGTGCATATCTCTCCTATAAACAAAGCTACTTCTCTCTGGGAGCTCAACCAAAATACGAGCGAGCGATCGATCGTTTCTGGTTTCAATTTCAAAGTGTTCACATTCCATTAAATTGGAGCGCATGATAACATACCAATACTACTATATATTCATAATTCATACCAATGCAAATATCACTTGTTGAAATCGTTTACATGTTTTTTATAGTGCTAAGGACTAAGAGTGGCACTAGAATATCGATATGTAAGAGCTCTATTTTCAATTGCAGCTTTTTGCTCTGTTCGCTCTCCTGGTGTTCTCTTTCTATATGGTTGCTCCTACTGAACAAATGAAGAACAAAGGCTTTGTTAAATTGAAACCGAAAGGAAGCAGTTGTTCCTTTCTTGGTGATTCTGCGAACAAAGAAGCCGCAAGCTGCGAATGAATTATTTCTGACCAATGCGCAGGAGAGAATTAAAAATTTAATCAACATATATTTTGTTTTATTAAAAAAGCCTCTATGAATTCACATAGATTCTTGCTTTCGATTTGCATTCAATAATATGTATGTATATCAGCCAAAAATTAGCATAACTACATTTCTTTAAAATTGGTAATATTTTATTTAATAATTTTTTTCCTTTCCGTAAAAGTGAATAGAATATACTAAAAATAATAAAAAAATAAAATAAAAATAATAAAAATTAATAAAAAATATTTCTATTATTAAAATATTTTTTGTTGTTAATTTATAAAATTTTATTTCAATTTTAACTTTTATAAATTATTATACTATTTTATTGACTAGTGTTTACGGAAAGAAACAAGTAAGAAAGCTCTAGTCGAGACTGCTCGACTACGAGATCCCGTGAACCCTTGGAGCAATAGATATTTCAATACTTTTTCGCGACTTTCAGCTTACACAAGAAACACGCACACACACACACACACACACGCACGTACGCACACACAGGTAAACATACACACACACGCATATAGACACACATACACACACACACGCATACAGACACAAACGCATACACACACACACATACACACACACATACACATACAAGCAACCACGCATAAACACGCATGGGCTGCAGTGTGCGCTTACTATGAGAACTTAATTGTTTAATAACTTTTTTTTATGGACGTACGATCTTCATGAAACTTTTAGATTATGATTATAACATGAATATGCATGTACTTGCCAAAGCACAAGTCTCTAGTATTTGAAATACGCTTTTTACAAAAGTGAGGGTGAGGGGGTGAATTTAGAGGTGGGGGGGTAAATTTTAACAAAAACCGAAATTGTATAAATTGCATATAAGCATACATTAAAAATTTGGAGACTCTAGCAATAAAGGTGTAGAAGATATAATTTTATAACTGGGTTTCGATAAGGTTTTTTATCGATAAAAAAAGATCGGGATGAGTTATCGATTTTTAATGATAAACTTGATATGCGCGCTGTAATTACGGACATTTTAAAAAAATTTGAAGTCTCTAGCTCTTATATCTTCTGAAATCGACGCGTTCATACATACGGACAGACGGACAGACGGACAGACGGACAGACAGACGGACAGGGCCAAATCAACTCAGCTCGTCACCCTGATCAAGAATATATATACTTTGTGGGGTCTGCCACGCCTCCTTCTCCCTGTTACATACATTTCAACAAAACCATTATACCCTGATTTCCCATTGAAAATGGGTTCAGGGTATAAAAATGATAAAAAAAAAAAAAAAATAAAATATTATTTTTACTGAAATATCATTCACTTTTGATAGGAAATATTGAAGCATCCTGATAACGAAGTACCCTGTGAATAAAATGCTTGACAAAGGGTAAATAAGTCCATTTCATATATTGTTTTTCTCTTATGAATATATGAATATGCGCTTTTGTATACTTTCAAATACATTGCTTGGTTCCCAGGTATGATTTTTGCAATGTGAGAGGAGCAAGGGTTCCACTGTGCGCTGGTTGAAATTTAAAATGTTGTGTTAATTTTATAAAGAAGATTTTATTTACAGTTTCTATAATTACACAATAAAGACATTCGACATAACAGACTTCAATTTAATTGATAGCAAAATGACCTACATATATTTGAAATTATTTGCCAATATTTGCATTAGACTATTCTCATTGTAGCATCTCATTAGTAAATTTCTATCAGGACTTACAAGTCCAATCGGCTTATTAGCTACGTTTTCTAGTGCTCATCAATGCTTGATAGGATTCAGGCTCACTCTGCTCCAACTCAAAATGTAATTTCGCTGAACAGCGTCAATTTTCATGCCATTTGCATGCTATTTTGTAAGCCGCTTTAATTTAATGCTGCGCAAACTTTTCCACTTTGCCACTTTGCTACTTTTATAGTGCAGCCTACATGGTGCTAGCTGCTCGTTGCTGGTTGCAACACCAACACCAACTGCAACTGCCAAAGTGAAGAAAGGAAAAGAAAAAGCAAGAAGCCGAAACAAAACAAGAGCAAGTC